CGATGAGCGGTTGGAAACGAATGCTGAGGGCTGCGTTAAATTGACGAGAGATTTTTGTAATTTAGTACAGAGTCATTCCGAATTAATTGCGAGCGTAAACGCTCAGATTAAACGAACAACATGCATGAAGACAAATGGTTATGTGAAAGGGCGATTCTTGCACCAAAAATGAGAGCGTTAACAAAATAAATTCAGATATATTAAGCAAAGTAGCAGGAGGAATAACAGAGTATTTGTCAGTAGACACAGTTATGGACACAGAACAGAGCACTTCATACCCCGCAGAGTTCCTAAATTCTCTAGAGTTGTCAGGTGTGCCCTCACATAAGTTTCTATTAAAATAAGGTGCCCCAGTCATGCTAAGCGAAATTTAGGTGCTCCTCGGTTATGTAACGGGACAAGGCTGCGTGTGACACATCTTAGACGGAACATAATTGGTGCTACAATTTTGACAGGCGTAGCAAAAGGTGAAAATGTTATTATACCACGGATCCCTATAATTCCCACAGATCTTCCTTTTCAATTTAAAAGGTTGCAGTTCCCTATTAAGCTCAGTTTTGCAATGACAATTAGTAAAGCGCAAGGGCAAACGTTACAGGTAGCGTGGGTTAACTTAAAAAAAAAAACCGTGCTTCTCTCATGGTCAGCTGTATGTAGCATGTTCGCGTGTGTCAAATGTCCAGAATCTCCACATTCTTGAATGGAAAAACATATAACATTGTGTACAGTAGCGTCTTAAAATAGTGTTCAGTTAGTTTTTTTTTTTCAAAATTCCCACAATCAATTAATCAGAATTCCCACAGATCTTCCCTTTCAATTCAAAATTCCCTATTTAGCTCAGTTTCTTTTCAATTCCAAATGCTGCACCTTTGACGGACCTACTAAGCTCAGTTTCCTTTAAACTCAAAAGGCTGCATCTGTGACGGATCTGTTATTTGGCTCATTTTTCTTTCAATTTAGAAAACTGCATCTCTGACGAATCAATTTAGCTCAGATTCTTTTCAAAAGTCTGCATCCCTGAAGGATAATTATGCTCAGTTTCCTTTAATTAAAAAAATTACCCATTTCCACTTTGAATAAACAGGCTATTTTCATGCTTTCCTATACGCTGCTTTTCAAAACATTTAAATAGGATGACGAATCAATTTTGTTAAGTTTCCTTTTAATGGCTGCATCTCTGACAAATTTATAAAACTCAGTTTTTTTCAATTCAAAGAGCAATGGATAGTTTATTTCCCAGTGACCATGCGGGCAAAGCCGCGGGTAACAGTTAGTTTTAAATAAAACCGTTAGATGAATGGTCACCCTTGTTGTTGTAAAGAATATCAAACTCAAATTTTCACAAACTTATATAAGGTTTTCTTTTATTAGGCAGTTATATTTTTACCTTAGCATAATATTATGTGATTATATTAAACATATCATAATTGAAGATTTGAATATAATAATTACACACGCTATGCAGCCTTATTTTGCTTATTCACCGGTGAACAATGGGTCACACATCCATCCTTCTGTCGCGAGCCATAATTAATTCAACTAGCTCCATCCAGTATCAAGTAGCAGAACTAAGATAGCTTCTAGAAAATTATAGACATACTAGAACTTTCCCACTAGCTCCATCTAGAATCGAGTGGTAGAACTAGGAGAGAACTTACTACACCTAGTTGGTCGGGATCGATTTGAACTCGAACATTTTAGATGTTTCGTGGAACGTGGAAAGAGTAGACCATAATCTTCAATTAAAAATAGCTCCAACCTTGATCTGAACCACTGACATCTCAGGAGTACGTGTGCTCTACCTATGTGATCAGGAATAGATTATAGAAAAAGACACACTGGTTGGTACTTGTTAGGAAGTGAATTGGTTGCGTATGTGTCAATATATATCGACTGGAGCCTCCAGCAAGGATGCACAAACGAGAGTGACCACACATTTAGAAGACTGTCGCGAATGAAATGGTCAAGGCGAAGAAGTTGTTACTCAAGTACGCTGACGTTTTCTCGTCAAACGATGCTGACATAAATAAATTGTTGACCTTTGTGAGAGACTGGTGTCCATACCAGCGCATTCACTGTGTTATAGATCACCAGGCCCTTAACCTAACGGATAGCACATTACATTTTCAAATATACTACAAGAGAAATACAAGAATAAGAAATATTTCAACAAGGAAAGATTCAAAGATTCTATATGTTTTTAAAGTTATTTCTATATGTGTAATAGTATTTGTGTGTGTGTGTGTGTGGGTGTGTGTGTGTGTGTGTGTGTATGTGTGTGTTGTGTGCGTGTATGTGTGTGTGTGTGTGTGTGTGTGTGTGTGTGCGGGTGTGTGTTTGTGTGGGGGGTGTGTTTGTGTGTGTGTGTGTGTGTGTGTGTGTGTGTGTGTGTGTGTGTGTGTGTGTGTGTGTATGCGTGCGTGCGTGGGTTTTGGTAGAGAGTAAATTGATAAAAGTTTATTTATATTTATTATAAAAGTAACCTCCCAGGAAGCATCAAAATTAACACAAAATAACAAAAACACAAAATAAACACAGGAGAAGAGAGGAAGAACTGCCTATCCGTAAGCAGCCAAGAACATTGCCGGTAGCACGTGAAAAAGAAGTGGAAACCATGATTGAAGAAATGGTGAAGGCTGGTGTTATTGAACCTTCATCTAGTCCATGGTGTTCACCTGTGGTGCTAGTAAAAAAGAAGGACGGCAGCATGCGGTTTTGTGTTGGCGACAATTTTTTTAAAGAACTTTGCAGATATAGCCAAACATCTGCACAAGTAACCCGGGGAGAAGCGACATTTCTAATGGGATAAAAGTTACGAAATCGCATTATAGGAGCTCAAAGACCGTCTGTGCAAAACACCAATTTGGCGGTACTTTGATGCGTGCAAGGAATTTATTGACAAAGATAAAAAATTACAGACGCAAGTGATAAAGGCCTTGGCAGCGTGTTGTCTTAACAGAACATTGTTCAAGGGATTGTGATAGCATGCTTCAGCAAGTCGTAGTCAAAGCCGGAAAGGAACTATTGTATCACAATATAAGAATTGCTTGCTGTGGTAAAGTAATTGCAGCATTTTAGCAAAAATATATACATCAGTGACACCAGCTTTCGAAAACTTTAGAAGAGAATTACGACTGCTTGCATATCTGATTACTGGAATACCACCTGATGTCCCAGGCAGTGTAACCGATAGTGCAAATGACTTGCGGAACAAAATGAATAACATTTATGAGCATATTGGACAATCAGGCCTGCAAATGTCTCTAAAGATGAAAACCCGGTATGATCTCAAAATAAACAACAAAGGGTTCGACGAAGATTCGCTAATCCAGTCCACAGCAAAGGAAAATCTCCTAAGATTCAGGCTAAATGGGACGGACCGTACCGGATTGTGACAAGGATCAATGACGTTACCTACCGAATACAGAAAGGTGCAAGAGATACTCGTAAGATAGTCCATGTGGATCGACTGGCGCGTTATTATGGGGCCGATAATGCTTGGGATGAGCATTTACTAGGAGGAGGAAGTGTTGCACGCCATAATTAACACGACTAGCGCCATCGAGTATCAATAAGCAGAACCAGGAGAGCTTCCTAGAAAATTATATCCTAGAACTATTCCACTAGTGCCATCTAGTATCGGGTGGTACTACTAGGAGAGAACTTTCTAACACATATTCGGTTTGGACCGGTATGTACTCAAAAATTCTAGATGTTTCAGTAGAAAAGTTCCTATATAGGTCTGGTATTGACCGCGACTCGAGTCAGTATTTATTCGGCGATTCAAGCGAATACTTTGAAGCGATGTAACTGCGAACTACCGTATTAAGTGTGATTAATACTTAGTGTGTTCTAAGTTGTAATTGCTGGTCGGTAATTAAAGTGTCAATTTTTGTAATTCAATCGGCAGTTTTTACTGTCACGAACTCTAAGCACGTAACACCTTCGACATTTTTTTTATGAAACTAAATTTTTTTATGGAAAAATTAATTTTGTAAAGTTGCACGGGGTGTGCGGCATGAAATTGTCCCGCTCTGCTGAGCACACCAAGCTTTTTAGAGGCCAATTTGGTCTTCTCTTCCAAGTGACAACGAAACAGCACGTCACTCGATATGTCGAGGCCATGGATTCTAATACTGGCTAAGGCAACAAGAGGAGTGCCTAGAAACCGAAGAGATACGACAAACGGGTTCTTTGTAGCGGTTAACGCGCAAACTTGGGTCTTCTGAGGATTAAACTGGACTGGATTTAGTCGCCCCCAATCCGAGACTTTGTTCAGCAAAGACTCGACTTCAGACATAAGTTTGTTCCAGTACGCGGAGATGTTTTCCCAAGAAATATTGGCACGGCCGGTGAACAAAGCTTTACCAGTGCTGTCATCTGCATAGCAATGAATGTTGCAGGTTTTATATGATTGATTAAAACTACTTTTACGGATTTCCCTCCCCCTCTCGGACAGCTCATGGAGTGCTCGTGTATTGGATCTGTTATTGTCTTATTTTTCGATATTAAATTAAAATTAAACCAATAAATCAGTGCCGCGAAAATAGGAGTGTATAAACAAACAAGAAGTTATTTTGCTGAATCAATAGCCGCAGTGCCCCAAGTCCCTCCCACTATTCCGTAGAAATGGCCGTTTTTCGTAGCACACTATAAACTGTGTTACGAGTCAACACTACGTACTCTGCTACTGCTGTGGCTCTGTTGCCCTGGTACCTCTGTAAGTCAATGTACGTATACCGCAGACTTAAAATACGAAAAAGAACTAATTGTGTACATGACTCTGCCGAGTTTATGCGAACCTGGTACTTCGATCTCTTAAGCTGAATAAAATAGTGCACTAAGTGTTTGTTACTTACTCTCCTGAATATTGTGAACTCCTTGGTTATCTCAAGTGCTAAGTGACTCTCTAAAACCTTAATAAACAACCTTAGTGATGTGCTTGATAGCGTGACTATCAGATCAAAGCGTCTTCGAGAGAAGGAGTGCATGACTATTTCATGAATGGCATGATGAACCTCCTGAGGGAATTCAAAAATGAGCAAAATCGAAAATTTGATGCCCTTCAGGATTCTATTTCCGGGATTCAGGTACATCATAAAGAGAAGCTTAACTCCTTACAGCAAACTACAGATGAAATAAGGAAGCAAAATGATGCTATACACGTGTCCATGGAGTACCTTCTGCAGGAGAACACCGAATTAAAAGGGAAAGTGCAAAAAATAGAAAGCGAACAGAACGAAAGTACTGATTACATACGTACCCTGGAGAACAGGATTGAGGTCATAGAGCGACAAGGTAGATGCTCAAGTATTGAGATTCGGAATGTGCCGGTGACGAAATCAGGAAGCAAAGAAGACCTTCTAAATAATGTACTAAGCATAACGACTGCACTGAATGTAAAAGCGTCTGCTTCGGATGTATGTGATATCTACAGAATAAACACAAAAATAGCGACACAGAAACCTAATATATGTAACTTAAATAGTGTACTTATTAAAGAAGGGATTTTGAAAAGCCTAAAAAACTTTAATAAAGGAAATAGATTTAGTACAGAACACATACATATCATAGGAGTTGCTCAGCCTGCATTTGTCTCCGAGAACTTAACTCCTGGAAATAAATCAAATAAATGCTGAAATAGAGAAATCAAACTGCTATGAATCCTTTATGTGCTCTCCGCAAGAATGCGCATCGTACACTGATCCAAACCGTAAACAAATAAAAATCCTTCACGTTAACATCAGGAGCATTAACGAGAATTTCGATGAACTTTGTATCTTCCTAAACATGATAAATATAAAAGTGGATATTATAAAATTAACAGAATGATGGATTAGTAAAGTTGTTAATATTCCTGTACTACGAAGCTTCAATTCTCACTGTTCCAATTGGCACAATCATAACGATGGTGTCATTACGTTTATTAAAGAAGAAATGAAATGCAAAGTATCCTTCGAAAATCTAATAGACGCTAGCTCCCTGAAAATCTGTTTCGAAAATGGTTTAGCTATCTTAGGTATCTATAGATCTCCTTCTGTTAAAATATATTGATAATTTTCTGAACTCACTAGATAATTTGCTAGTATCTTTAGCGTCATATAAAACTATAACTATCATTGGAGATATTAACATCGATATTCTCTCTGATAAACGTGAGCCCAAGCCCGACCCTTACTTGAATCTTCTGGCATCACACGGGCTATTACCCGTACATTCGTTCATCACCCATGAAGATGCTTGCCTTGATCACGTTATGATGAAAATCAACCTTAAGATAACCACCATCGTGTCAAATTTCAAATTCATCGATCCCATCCTTACATTTATAGGACAACGTCTACAAACACTATACCAAAAAACTCGGGTATATGTTAATACACAAAATGTTACAAACCAATTGGCCAATACGGATTTTTCAACCATCTTTGATACTAAAGATGCTAATCTTGCTGCTGATCTATTAATCTCCAAGATTAATACATGCATCAAACAAAACACCAAGACTGTCAAAGTCTCACGCAGAAAACGTACATTAAAGCCCTGGATTACACCCGGACTTCTAAGTTGCGTACAAAACCGTGACAGCTTGCGTAGAAAAATGAAAAAGAACCCAAACAATGAAGAAGCTAAAGTCATATATCTACGTTATCGCAACTACTGCAATAAATTATTAAAAAAATAAAATGTCTCCACGAACGCAACGAATTTCAAAAAGCTAAATATAACCCCAAAGCGACTTGGAATGGCGTAAAGAGCATAACTCATCTCACCTCCTCATCATCACCTTCTACAGACCTTCTAGATCTAACAAATGATCCTAATGTCTCAATAAATCAGGTTAATGACTTTTTTGTAAATATTGGACCAAATCTAACCTCCAAAATCCTTAAATATAAACACCCATCAGCTTCACCTATAACCTCTATAAAATCACCTTATAATCCTCTTGGCAACTCCATGATTTTATTAGAAACAGATGAATCAGAAGTTGAGAATATAATTATAAATCTTAAAACAAATAGTGCTACTGGCTATGATGGAATATTTTCTGCAGTTATTAAGGCTGCCCGAAATACTTTTATTCCTCCTATAACATACGTCTGCAACCGTTCTCTTGAGTCGGGTGTCTTTTCAAAAGCCTTTAAGAAAGCTTTAGTACATCCAATCTTTAAGAGTGGGGACAGAAGCAGTGTCAATAATTATAGGCCCATATCAGTAATCACTTCCCTCTCGAAAATAATGGAAAAATTCTTAACACAAGGCTTATTAATTACTTGAACAAATACAAAATCATATCAGTAAATTAATACGGCTCTAGAAGTGGCTTATCCACAGAAGACGCTGTTATGGATCTAGTCAACTTAGTAGCTAAAAAAATAGACAATAAATTCAAAATAATAGGAACCCTCCTTGACGTGTCAAAGGCCTTTGACACTGTTTCTATCCCCATCCTACTTCAAAAACTGAATGAAATTGGCATAAAAAGTTTGGCTTTGGACGTCTTTCGAGGCTTTCTCTCAGAACGCAGACAATGTGTAAAAATAGATTCTTTTCTTAGTGATGATAAATATCTTTCCTATGGAGTCAAGGCAGTGTGCTAGGACCGACATTGTTTCTGGTATACATAAACAGTCTCTGTAGCTTGACTATTCCGAATTGCCGCATCATCACGTACGCCGATGACACTGTTCTCTTGGCACACGACAAAACCTGGGAGAGTGCTCGATGCACAATGAAAGAGGCCCTGCGTGTTGTATCAAACTGGATCTGTGACAATCTGCTGACCTCAAATATTGACAAGACCAAGTATATTATTTTTTCTGCAGCAAAGTTAACACAATCTAAACCTGATCCCTTCTACATCAAATTTCACCACTGTGACTCGACAAATGCAAGTTGTGGATGCATGGCAATAGAACAGACGGATAACATAAAATATCTGGGAATTATACTCGACAGTACCCTTACCTGGACACCTCAACTAGATAACATAGCATCCCACTCATTTTATAAAATTGGAGCGTGCACAGAGAGCTGTGTCAAAGGTCATGACTAAAAAGCATTACCGTTACCCTACTACCCAACTATATAAAGACTGTGAGGTGCTTACAGCCAGGCAACTCTACATACTTCAAATGGTACTTCGTAGACATCGCTCGCTCCCACTGGAGCACCGCGCACAAAAAGTATGTCGAAGACTGGAATACCGGGTATGTGAACACCTCCCCCACAGAACCGCTTTAGCTCGTAGACAATACTATGTCCGAAGTATTCATGTTTACAATAGGATTAATAAAGAACTAAATATCCATAAAACTACTGCAAGAAAGTGTAAACAGGAACTGAAGCAGTGGCTGCAGAGACTTTCATACGAGAATACAGAGGCGCTTTTGCGATCCCCCTATAGAGCTAACGTAAAGTAAAGTCGTAAGATTCATCACACAATTAGTGAGGACTGCTGTCTTGGACACAACCAATCCCAAGATGTTTAAAATAGGGCAGGGTTTATTATGCACATATTAATACTCACACACACAAACACACACACACACACACACACACCTATTTACAAACTTTTACGTGTACACTCGCAATTCCATCCCTCTCTTTTATACCTTTATACTCTTTTATACTTGTTCTTAAGTATTGTATACATATGTAGCGGATTCAATATTATGTAGTGCTAAACACGGCATTGCTCTAATTGTTTCCTATAATGTCCGGTGGAAGGCGATAGCATCTGTAATACAGTTTTCAAAATAAAACTAGTACAGCCGCTAACGATCAACCATATCCTACTAGTATGTTACTAGTGTATTGGTGCCTGTAATCGTACTTAATATGGAAAATTTTGTTACACGTTTTTCTGAGAATAAAGATTTTATTATTATTATATTATTATTTTATCGCGTTTACTTTTAGTTGTTTTTATTTTTAATTCCTGACGTTTCGGGTACTTTCCAGCACCCATGGTCACAGGGGACTGAGGTGACTGACGTCCCGATGTCAAAGTTAACCCGGAGTACCTTCAGCTTTTCAATTATTGTCTTTGGTCCGATCTACGCAGAATGTACTAACTGTGTTTTGACGTCTTGCAGTGGTATGCTTGGGTTTAGTTTTAATTTAATTGATTATAGGGTCCCAAGAAGGTGGTAGTATCCAGTCTCCTTCTCTATTGAAACTAGGATGTTTTTAATTTCAGTAGCCTCACGTATCATCCTTGGTGGGAATCGGTGTTCTTTCGCGAGGATTTGTGTTCTATCAAATCTGATGTTGGGGCTGTCTAGGATATGATCACAAACTGCAGACTTTACTTTTACTAGTTTCGCGTGAATATAAGAAGACATGTGATTGATATGCAGAAGGAACAGCGTTGGTAATAGCAAGCAACCTTGTAGAACACCAGCTTTAATAGGCTTGTAATCGGAGCTTGCACTCGCAAAAAAGCTGTTGATCCAATTGCACAATTTCTCGGGAACTCCATAAGAAGGGAGCTTCGAAAGAAGTGCTTTGTGCCAAACCCGATCGAAGGCCTTCGCATTGTCCAAACTAACCGCCAATGCCTCCTCCTTGGACTCTACTGCCGCCACCCATCTATGAGTCAGGTAGACCAGAAGATCACCAGCTGATCGACTACGACGAAAACCGTATTGGCGATCACTAATCAACCGGTGATTCTCAAGGTTCCTCATAAGCTGGTAGTTTACAATGGATTCCATTGTTTTGGATAACAAGGAGGTGATGACGATGGGCCTAAAGTTGGACAGGACTGAGCGGTCACCTTTCTTAGTCTACGCCTAGAGTACTGGAAAAGGACCAGTGCCAACTCTGGAGCACACGTCCTCATCACAATTGGGGGGAAACCGTCAGACTCACCCGACTTATAGATGTCCAGGGAGAGGGTGCTTTGCTAACCGAGCGCTGCGTAAACCGCACCTCCGGCATGGAGTACTAACACCGTGGCATGGTCGGCGGCGTACTTCCCCCCGTCATCGAGAGTCGAGTTGAACGCAAAGAAAGAAACCTAAGATCGGTTTTCTCCTTTGCCGCATGGGCCAGTGAGTCGTCTTCGCTGTGCAGAGATGGAAGATATGGCTGACAGAAATTCCCCTGACAGGCCTTGGGGAGAGACCAGAATGCACGGTTTTCAGAAGGTAGGCGAACTAGTTTCTCGCCAATTCTTGTCTTGCTTTGGGAAGTCTTTTGAAGGACCTGGAGGCGGAATTATACATCTTTTTAGAGCGCTGTTGCTTACATCCCGGGACGTTAAAGCGCCAACCCAGACTTGGTAGCAATACTACTTATAGCATGATGTTATTTTACAAGAGTGGCCAAACCATGTCTGAGATTTGCCTACGATGGGCACCACAGAGGAAGAAATAAAAAGTTTCATACCCTGAAGTACCACATCAGCGACAGCATCAGCAACAACGTTGGGATCGTCCAGCGAGAAACAAACCCACCCCCAAGGGTAGGACGCATAGAAAGATCGCATCCTATCCAATTCAGCTGACCTATAGTGCCGAACACGACGGCTGCCTACAGAATGCAACCGCGATTTCAGCGTGAGTTTCACACTCCAGACAAGACAATGGTCCGAGGAGCCTAAAGGGGCGTCGACGGAAATCAGATATCC